TACATTTTTGAATCGTTGATGTGGCAGTTATTTTCCCTCTGATTGGCCAAAATAGTTGTCTTATTGTGTTTAACACCGCTTGAGGTCCACAACGTTTGTTTTCTTCATGAATCGTCGTAAAAAACAATTTTACTAATGGACCGTTATATGGCAATATTATTGGATGTTTTGCCTCCGGTTGAAGCATAGAATGTTCCAATCTTCCACCTACGCGAAGGACACCTTCTTCATCCAAGTACGGCGACAGGCTGCATAGAGAGCTGTGTTTGCTAATTTGCTTCTCAGCTTTCAACTCTTTTATTTCAGTTGCGAATTCTGCCGATTGCATAGCATGAGTAATTAACCGGAGGGAGTCATCTGACTCCTCAGGGTTAAGGGCCTTACTTCTGGGCCGCTGAGACCTTTGCATCCGCGCATTTCTTATGAATCTGAGGACGAATGACACAATCCTTTGTAGTCTCCTGAAGGAATTTTTGTGATCGATTCCATCTATAAAGTGGATGTCAGAGGTTACTATAGCAGTCGTAGCGACAACCTTTAGCTCCATGTTATTTGTAGGAGCATTTTGAGGAGGACATTTAGCAGCTCCTTTCCGTGAAGAAATACTGGCCCATGAAACCATAATCGGCTTTTATATAGGTCTACTGGTTGCAGGCCTCGAGAAAGCATGTCGGCAGGATTCTCCTTTGACGGAACGTGCTTCCATTGCTCTAGTAATGACAATGTTTGAATGACTGACACCCTATTTGCCACAAATGTCTTATATAAGGTTGACTGGGATTTTATCCAGGCAAGGACAATTTCCGAGTCGGTCCATAGAAACATGGGATGACTTTGAAGCTTTAAATCAATCCTTACTCTATTACCCAGTTCAGCTGCTACCACTGCGGCACATAGCTCTAGTCGAGGAAGTGTTTGCTATTTCAACGGAGCAATTCTGGATTTAGCGCAGATCAGGCGTACAGCTACGAGACCATCCTTTGTAACAAAGCGAATGTATACAGCAGCGCCAAACGCTTTCTCCGACGCATCGGCAAACACATGTAATTACACCTTTGCCGGAATCTGCTCGCTTCGAAATGTTTTCCAAGTAGCACAAAGTTTTTCGGGTAATGGTTCATCCCATCCTAATGCAAGTTGCCACAGCTGCTGGATAAACATCTTTGCTTTTACAACAATTGGTGCAAGCAGACCAAGTGGATCAAAGAGTTTCGCTAGCTCAGACGTAACTGATCGTTTCGTTCTTACTTGACAATGATCAATATTTGCCTTCACGCAAAAACGGTCGGCCTGAGGCATCCAAAATGGTCCCAAAGTCTTTATCGTTTTGCTTTCATCAAAATCTAGATTGACTTCCCTATCACTATAAGGTATATCCTTTAGCAATCTTGGACTGTTTGGCGACCATTTTCTTAAGTTGAAGCCGTGCTTTTTCAAAATGATTATCAATTCCTTTTGTGTCTCCATCGCTATGTTTAAGCTATCAGAACCACCGAGACCATCGTCCATATAAAAGTTCTCTTTTAGCATTTCTGAACCAAGGGGATAGCGATCCAAGTTGTCGTCTGCGATTTTCTACTTTGTCTACTTTGTGGCAAGGTACGGTGCTACACGAGTTCCATATGTAACAGTATTGAGCTTGTAATAGCTAACTGGGTGCGATGGATCTTCCCTCCAAATGATCAGTTGATATTTCTGATCATCGGGGTGAATTAAGATTTGTCTATACATTTTTTCAATGTCAGTTATGAAGACAAACTTTGGTAATCGGAACTATAGCAAGATAGAGAACAGTTCACTTTGCACAGTTGGTCCTGTGTACATTAAGTCATTTAACGAATGACCCGATGACTTTTTCGTGGATGCATCAAATACCACCCTTAATTTTGTCGTGGTACTATCTGGTTTAAGCACACAGTGATGCGGAATGAAATATTTAGGGTTCGACACTATATTCACGTCAATTTTCTGCATGTGTCCTAGCATTACATATTCCTGCATGAACTTGATGTATTCTGAAGAAGCCGACGTTCAAGACTCATGAACCGGTTATATGCCATCGCATGAGATTTTCCCAATGTTGTTGGAGATTCTTGGAAAGGAAGACTAACAATGAATCGCATTAGGCTGAAGTAAAACTCCGCCCCGAATAGGATGTCAATTTTTCCTTGAATATTAAAATTTGGATCCGTCAATTTAATGTTCGTTGGAATCTGCTAGTTAGATATGTCCAAATCGTGATTCGGTTGTGCAGGTATAATCGTTGGTAAAACAAATGCTTCCAAATAAGATGAAAATCCAGAATTGTTAGACATCATTTGCATGTTCACACGATGATAAGCCTTCTTCTGAATTTTTCCAACTCCGTCAATAGACAAAGAGGTCTCTGTTGTTGCAATTGTGACCTTTTAATCAGCCGTTCTGTAACAATAATTACTTGTGAACCGGAATCAAGCACAGCTCTGAACTCGCCTGACATACCATTTGCAGCTTTTATGGTGACTCTCGCAGTGGCTGATCTTCTGCTGATGCCGAAGAAATTACTGCAGTATTGACTGGTGTATGATTGCTGTTGATGATTGAGATCTCCTTGATAAATGTAACAACGTATTGCGTTTATTATTACATTTCTTGCAGTTGCCAGATGTGCAGTTTTTCGCTATATGATCAGCCTTAAAACAGTTCACGCACATTTTATGTCGTTGTACCCATTGGAGTCTTTCAGATTCCGACATCGCCAAGAATTGCTTACATTGATAAAGACGATGTTGACCATTTTTGCATAGCTTGCAATTACTGTGATTCTCCATTGATGTTATGGACGAAACAGCTTTGCTTGAACCTTTGTGAGCAGTTGCCACTTTCCCAATCGATTCCATTGACTCAAACTGCAATTCCAAAAATGCAAAGAGTTCTTTCATGGAAGGAACCTCCTTCGGTCTTTTTAACGATTGCATAATTCGTATGTACAACGCATGATCCAAATTCTTCGTAATCAATTGGATCAATAGCGCGTCCCACGACGAAGTGTCAATATCCAGGTTGTTCAGGGCCAGCATACATTCCCTCGTCGTATCATGCAAAGCTTTGATAGAAGCGGTTGATGAGGTTCCTGTTGGCTGGTTCAGAATACGTTCTACCAATGTTGAAACAAGAACCCGTTTGTTATTGTACCGTTCTTGGAGCAACATCCATGCAGTTGCGTAGTTGTCCTCTGTCAAGGCTAAGTGGCTTACGAGTTTTCCAGCTTCGCCCGACAAATTTGTTTTTAAGTACCACATCTTTTGGACATTAGGAAGATGCTGCTTGTCCACCATCTCGCCTTTACCCTTCGGGCCAGTCCCTCAACTTGAGCCGACGCAGGTTCCTTAACCTGGGCTGATGCTTGGGGTTCTGAATCATTTTCTGGCGATCTTGCCTTAGCGGGTTTATCTGGATTGACCTTGGCAGACTTCAGCTTCTCCAACTCCGCCTTTATATAGTCCACTGTTGCATTGAACTTTTCGCCTATGGCCTGGTGCAGATTCTCCGCTATATACGGATCATCCTCTGCCAATGATGGATCTTTGCGGATCTGGTTTTCTACCGATTCAAACGTCTGCCAAAGCTGCTCTAGCTCCTTACGCTTGCCAATGTAGAATTCCTCAGTTCTTCTTTCAAGCGGTGCCTTCCTAATTGTCGCTATGAATTTTTCGAAATTACTGCCCCTTACTTCTTGTTGGACTATAAGGTCTTAAAGCGATGTCATTGTTGATATTTAAATTTTTTCCAAAGAAATTTGTGTACAAGATGCGGTATATCACGTCTGACAAAACCGGATATATGTTGCCGAGTCCTTTACCACTTGTTGGGCAGAAGGCTGTGTTTAACGACACGTATCACGATCAACCTCTTTTACCAATTGTGGGGTAAAATAATGTGTGTAAACGAACGCGTATTACGATTCAAATCCTTTACCACTTGTGGGGTAAAAGGAGGTGTGTTAACGAACGCGTATTACGATCAAAATCCTTTACCACTTGTGGGGCAAAAGGGTGTGTGTAAACGAACGCGTATTACGATTCAAATCCTTTACCACTTGTGGGGCAAAAGGATGTGTGAAAACGATCACGTCGGGGTCACCAAAAAATGTTAATATAAATCGGACCTAGTGGGATTCAGTTCAAACACATAAATTTAAACTGACACTTAAGGTAAGGTCACATTTGGCAAATATTTGACGAAAAATGTGAAATATTTCTTTGTCACAATCTGACCACCAAATATTATTTGACGGTAAATACAAAAACAGCTGATTTTGGGAAAACAAAATTATTTGCCAGAAAACAAAAATTTGACCAATGTGTCCATAATGTGAACATATATGATCAATTATTTTCCTATTTTTTGGTCACACATTTATTTGACGATGCAAATGTTTTGTAAGGTCAAACAAGGGAAAATATCAGTTTAAAACATTGGACAGTTTTTTGCTTTAAGAACAGGAGCATTTGTAGCATGATTTTTAATGAATAGAAAAACAAACGAATGCAATAAGTGGCTTTGTTTATTTGATATTTTTGAATTAACTGAATTTGAATGTTTAGTAAAAAATGTTTATATTTGGTCTGTTCCAGAACTGCGAGAATGTAACAGCCTGTTCCACGATCTCGAAAGAAAATTTGTGCGAACGAAGGCTACTCACTCACTTTCGCATAAAAATGCGTTCCACTAACTTTCGTTCTTTCTTTCGCATAGCCTTACGTGATTCAGTGTTGCAAAATATTTTTTGGCAAAATTAATCGCGAAATAAGGCAAAAAAAAGCGCCAAATGTCTAATATAAACGCGAAAAAGCAGCAGTGGCTCTGTCTCAACTGACAGTTCAGTTGTAAACAAACAAATTGTAAATAAACAAACAAAATAAAATTTCTAGTGATTGTGTTCAGATTATTTGTGTTCTTAAAAAAGAAAAAAATGAATATTTCTGTAGCCCTATTTTTTATGGATGATGAGGAGGAGGTTCAAATTGTGCCACGGAGGCATTTAAGAGATGCTTCGAATTTATTTGAAGTACCTAACAACCAGTAAGTATGATTGTATTTTTACATTTTTAAAATAATAAAAAAATGATTTTTTCTAGGTTTGTGTCTTCCAGTGGTCTTCATGGGATTGCCTGCTGCTTCCAAAAATTGGCACTCCTCTGGCGAACTTAGGATTCTCCCCCATATACTCAACTATTGCCCGCAGCTGTGTAGTTTTTTCGTGCTGGAATTGAGAAAATAAAAAAATATATATTTGTTGTTCACAGATTAAATTGCATTTATTATTTTTACTTACATTTTTCTTTCCATTTTCAATCAAGAAATGTTTATGTTAAAACAATTTTCCTTAATTTTTATCATTCGACAGCAAACACACAAGTGACTGATTTTGACATTTGTGTTCGCATGCGTACGAAAGAAAAAAGATAGTGGAACGCAAAATTACACTGAAACGCTTACGTTTTCGTTCGCTTTGATTTTCGTGCAAATTTTCGTTCTGATGGATTTTAGTGGAACGGAAATCAGCTGTTTGTCGTGTAAAAGTTGTGCGAACGTGTTCTTTCGACATCGTGGAACAGGCTGTAAGTGTTTTTACTACGATAACCGATTTTCCCTTTATTATATCGAAGAAAATTGCGAAACTATTAGATTCTTGCAGGTTCTGGAACAGGATATGGGTAGACGCATCAACGCTTGAAACAATGATATGTCAAAAATTTTGAAATGTTTTGACAAAAATAAGTAGATTTTTATGTTTTCCTATACAGCGAAAAATCGGAGTTTGCAATGATATATATTTTTCAACAATTTTTACAAACTTCAATAAAATTTCATTCATTATTTTCAATTTAAAATTGTTTTGACAGTTCATTGTCCCAGCAGCTATGTCGATGTGACTACCTGTATTCTTCTACCATGATACAAAAAAAAAAAAAGCAAAAAAAAAAAATTGTTCTGGCAAGGAATTTATTCCACAACAGCTGTTCTTTTGCTTCCCTTCTCCAAATAAATTATACCCGAAACTACATTTTCTTCATGTCTGTCTTTCACTCTCTCGGTCTATTTCTCTCGGCCAAATAAACTTATGTTTCCTTACAGTTTGATCAAACAATTTAATGGGAAAATATATTTTACGAATGTGAACATGTGTCAAACATGTTTTCCCATAGCACTGTTTGACGCTGTTTGGTGACTGCTTGAACAAACAAAATCTGTCAAATATTTGACTGTAATGTGAACATCGAATCAACTCTGTATGAATTTCACATTTGTTCAGTCAAATATGGGAAAACAAATTTCGATCAAATATTTGCCCAGTGTGACCGTACCTTTACAGTCCTTAAAATTCTCCTTACAAGCACATAAACTTGAAGGAAAGACGATGATTATTAAATAAATCCAAATTGGTTATGGTCGCTTCACAAAAGACAACTGATTAATTCTTTATTATTTTCATTCTTTTATACAAATAATTTCTTAGCATAATTGATTACTTGCATAAAGTAAAACTAGGTCAAATATTATTAACACAAAGTGAATAAATGAAACTGTTAAATAATGAACCTAATAAACGTTAATGGCTTACATCAAAATGCTGAATTAACAAACTAGAATAAAGCTGTAAATACGTCACAACTAAACTACAACTTAAATATATATATGTATGTAGATACGTATGTGTTAACAGTAAATAAATTCTACAACGACAAAAATATCAAAAAACGATCGATACAATGTATCAAAATGCCTGTCCTTACAAGCAGAATTTGCTTTGACTGGCTACAGCAGCATTTTTTTTAGTGTGTATATGTTACAACATTATTTGGTGGTTAGATGTCGCCTATATCGGTTCGAGGGGAATGAATGGAGAGCCATCTGGACCAAAATAATAGAACACACATCTTGTTGTTGTCTATGATAGTAACCAAATGTGTTTCTGCTATATTCACATCTCAAATGGTGGATTTCTCTAGCCCCATTCGATATGATCATATTATAATAGTTTTTGAGTGTGTCTAAGCTACAACATAATTTATGGTTAGTATAGATAGAACTCACCGTTAGATGTCGCCTATATCGTTTCGAGAGGAATGACTGAACATTTTGAGTCACTAAGATTATAGAAAAATGAAAATAAGGACAACGAAAAGTTAATTTTGTCTTTTTATCCAGGTTGCTCTCATCATGTTTTGCATAGCCAACATGCTGATTTACGCGTTCAAACCACTCGACTTCTAGAACACATTTTATCGTTTTTCAAGAATTTCACTTGATTATTCCGGACTTTTTCGATGTCATTACGTACTTTTCACATTTCTTTTATTATGCAACAATTTGCACTTGACACAATTTTTGTTAATTTTAACGTTTTAGAATTGAGTTACTTCAATATTCTCACCCAAATCCTTCGAAAATAAGCAGTGAGAGTAATTATTTGTCTATATTTGCATTTATATTTTCATCTATGCTGAAATCAAAACCCCTGAAATATCAATAATTAAAGCATATTTGCCAATTGAAACTATTCTATAATATATCACATTTAATGAAGTCGATTTCTTAAAAATATGTTTTCAAATAAATTAATAAGCACATTTGACTACAGTAATCAGCATGTTGACTATACAAAAGCATGCTGAGGGTCATCTAGACAAAATAGTAGAACAAACATCTGGTTGTTTTCTATGATACTAACCACTTTCAGATGTGCTTCTGCTATATTCACTTCTCACATGGTGAATCTCTTTAGCCCCATTCGATATTATCATAATACAGTCGTTTCGAAGGGTGTCTATGCTAGTGGTTATTATTAAAAAAAATTACAGCAGTTTTGGATTGTGTCTGCGCTAAATTAAGCGCCATCTAATAGTTCATATTAAAACAAGCAACGCCAACATTCCCAATAATATTTACCGTGGTACAATTCCCAAGACAACATCCCCAATAAAATTTACCGTGGTGAATTTCACCAATCAATATCTCCAATAGAATTTACCGTGGTGAATCGTGGTACTCATTTGGATATTTTTGGCACAACTGATTCCACAGTCACAGAAGCCGTGAAATTGAAATTTGCTGATAGCAGTGAAGTCTATCCAGCGCGGAATTCGAATTTTATTAATGGATGGAAAATAGTTTTGGAATTGCAACCAATCGGAAACGATATCTTGGGACAACGGATCATTCCATCCGATACCACAGGCCCAAATCTTCTGCATCATCTTTTTTGCCAAAACTACACATGAAGATAACCAACCTTCTGGGACGAACAACTTTGCTATATGCGATAGAAGTACACGTTTGGTACATGTGGACAAATGAGAAAATGGCTTGGCAGTTAAAAAGAATGATTCTGAATGAGCCTCCCATCGCACAGTGGTCGCTACCATTGGCCAAAATTCAAAAAATTAAAATCATATATTTATTGTCAAATGTGTACACATGATCTCTTAAGGAGTTAAGCATTTTAGAAAACATAATAATCATGGCTTTATTCTAACGTTCCAGTTCGCGAATAGCATACAAAAAAGAGAAAATGTAGTTAATTGCTTTTTTTAGTGGGATCAGTGCAAAAGTGGAGTAAATATAGAACTGCATTACAAAATTAAATACATTTCAAAATGACAAATCTTGGCATAATTATTGAAATACAAGGTATTGACTTATTCTTAGTACAGCAATTTGTGTGTTTAGTAGTCTGTCAACTCTGCTCGCATGCAAGTGTTTTTTCTGTGTGTCGTAAAACATATTAAGATATAATTATATACGTTTCAATAGTTTGCTAAAGTGTGAAGTTTTTGTGAAATAAGTGTTTTATACTATTTTACTAAATTAAATTTTGTGCGCGTTGATCATTTGGTGTTTTCATTTTCTTTTCTGTGTTTGTTATTTACAACGTAGTGTTACTTTCTTTTGTCTTTTACGTTTGTGCCTGATTCCCTTTTGCTGTTCTGGACGTATTAAATTAGCTGTCCTGAGCATACTCTTAGGTTGTTACGGTAAATTGATTATTACACTATTTCCCTAATACACTGCTTCCTTTAGTATTTCGAATTATCATGGAGTGCTCAATTAAAAATTGCAAAACTACTAATTTTAAAGAATGTTTACTTACATGTTGGCTATGCGATAAGCATGAAAATTTAAAATGTGCAGGTCTTAATGGCCGCCATTTTGATGTTCCTACTGATTGGGAAAAATATGGTTTACGTTGGGCATGTATTGGTTGTAGGCCCTTAGAAATTAACTTTTATAATCATTTCAAGTAGTTTAAAATTGAATTAGCAGCTTTGAAGAAGGTTTTCGACGAAGCACTTTTAATGCTTCAGAATTTCGAAAAAAAGTGTAATAATTTTCAATTCTTAGATGGATCTCCGAAACAAAAGAAATCCTCAGTTTTTGTACCTGGTGGTGATTTGATCCGTTTAAATTCACCAGCTGTGACTCAGCCATACCACGCTACCAAATCTTTCGGCTCGAACATCCCACCCTCTATTGATTATAAAACTATTGAAATTGTTACACGAAATGCTCCGGTAGAAATGCAATCTTCTAAAACCGTACCTATAGCTTCTCAATTCTTAGCGCCTGCAATTGTTGTTACAGTACAATAGCTAATACTATTCCTGTAATTTCTACCGATAACACCGATAAGCAAACGTTATCTTCTCCACGTTCGGCGGAACCGTTAAAGGAAGCTTCTATTACTGCAGAATGTAATAAGCCTTCCATTCTGGCCAAGCCTCCAGCGGTTATAGAAACAAAATCTCTTCCTGCAGATAAATATGAAAATAATCTATCTGCTTCTGCAGACTTTCACAATACTATCCCTGCGCCTTCTGATTTAAGTGAAAAGTCTGTTTCTGCAGACAATAATAACAAATTTTCTATGCCTTTGCCTACGAATCAACTTATTGTTGTAGCGCCGAGTAAAACTATATTTGTATCCCGATTGCATAACGATACTACTGTTGATAACTTTCGTTCTGGCCGGATGGATTGTTGGTAAAGGAATTTGTATTTAGGGAAAGAACACGGAAACATGGTTAAAACCACAAATTCGTGGCACTGAGATTTTATCTGATCACTACCAAATTTACAGAATAGACAGATTAAATAAAATTGGTGGAGGTGTTTTGATTGCCGTTCATAATTCCATTGCCTCAGAACGTATTTTGGCTACAGAAAACCCTTACATTAAATTTGTTTGTGTTAAATTAAAATATCTAAATTGTATGTTTATTATAACTTGTTCATATATTCCTCCGAATTCAGACATTGATATTTATCTTATGCATTCGGCCTTAATAAAAGAGGTTTCATTATATCATTCCTCCAACGCGGAAATGATTTGTCTTGGGGATTTCAATCTACCTAAGCTAGTATGGATCCCAGGAGAAAATATTGTAGATTATGTATCAGTCTCTTCTTCAGAACTTTCTACTCAGATGTCATCATTTTGGGAAATCATATTTGATCAATGTCTTTATCAAATAAATTCTATCTATAACGCGAAAGGTAAATTATTAGATTTAATTTTTTCTTCATCCATAACTTCTTCTGTGTGCAGAAGGCTGCCTTTCTCAGAGCCAGAA